GAGAGGGAGAGAGATAGAGCGTGTGTAGGAGGTAATGAGGATGTGGTGAAAGGTCAACTCTTTAAATCAGTCTCTGTAGCTGCCACTGCTGAGCTGTAGGTGGAATCTGATTAGTGGCGATGTTATAATGGGCCTCCACAGTTTTATAGCCCGGAACTAATGATTCATTACAATAGGAACAGCAGGGCAGGTCAGGAAAGCTGAAAACTCTGTTAAGCACAATGCTTTAATAGCCCCGTCTCACCTAACATTCTAAATAAATATCATACCGAAGTATTTTTATCATGTGTTTACCACCTGCTGTTAGTTAGTCTTGAAGTTTTAGTCTACCTGTATGTTAGTCTATATCTAAAATGATAGTATATTAGCCAAAGAAGTTCAATAAATGTGTGAGAAACGCGTTGCAAGTTACTGTTAAACAGCTTTATGACTCCGGGGGAGAAACAAAGGTCCTCCTGAAACTCTCAGTCCACAGTAAGAAATGCAGCATTGCTTTTTCCATTTCAAGCCTAGTTTGCGAGATACACAACGACGTATTCTGTTTTGGTCTCTACCAGCCACTAAAACCTTCTTTTTTTGCTTAATACCCCAAATATGTGTCTGTCTTCTGTGTGGCACACAAAAAGTCGGATTTAAATTAAGGACAAGGCTCAAACTCATATTTACATTTCCTTTCGTTCATGCCACATTTAAGCTAGCTGAGGCCCAAATCTAAAAATCTTTCAGTTTGAGTTCCATTTTTGAGTGTAAACGTGCCCTTAAAGGTGTTGAAGTCTTGAATTTTGTGATGAAAGCTAGCTTTTGACCCATGCATTTGTTTCAACGTAAGAAAACATACAGATTTTATTTCAAGGATTTGTCCCGATCATCCGTAAAAATAAATCTTTTACAGACAGAATGGTTTTTGCTTTTAATTCTTAATTTAAAAGTGCCTCTCTCGTCTTTAAAGAAAGTTTCACAAAAAAAGGCCAAACTCTTCTCCATCGAAATGGTCTGATGCTGTTGGATGAACCGGATTAAGTCATCGTCCTGACGTGGGTGGGTGTGTGTTGCTACCTGTGGCTGTGTAAGACTCCCTGACCGCCATCTGTTTGGAGGCCACGCCTGTTTCGGTGAGGCTGGAGAAGGGCGTCGAGCTGCTCGGGTAAAAGCTCCCCAAAAACAGAGCAAAGCACAGCACGACCACCTGCCGGCGGAGAGGATATGAGAGGATATGAGAGGAGAGAAGAGGAGAGGAGAGGAGAGGCGGGTAAATAGATTATGAAGCAAAACAAAATGTTAAGCTGCAAATGAGTAATGGAAGCAGATGTTTCCAATTCAATAATCAATGCTCCATCGACTTCTTGTTAGCGGGCGCACCCACACGACTCACACACACACACACACACGAACACACACACACACGCACACAAAAGTACCATTAAGCACGATGATGTCTGGGTGCCAGCCACCCTGCAGGACCTGTGGACTTTTCCTGCCACCACCGCCTGCAGAGACTGCAGCTGCTGCAGCAGAGACCTGGAGAAGAGCACACACACACACACACACACACACACCGGTTAGGCACGCAAAACCCAACACAAAGCTTTTCCCACCCACCCCCAGTTCTACAGTAGGACCAAAAAAAACAAACACAAAAACAAACAAAGCAAAGCAAAGTGAGTCCTAAATGTGGACAATGTCCCCATTTTTAAAGCCTCTTACATTAACACCACTCAAGAGTTTTAGAGTATTAAGCTCATGTTTGTATTTGTGGTCGGCAGCCAATGCTCCGCACAGGGGAATATATCATGACTCCCACAGGGTTTAGTTGATTACAGTCTCCTTTTTTTGGTTATAATTCTTACAGTTTCCCTTCTTGTGACTATGCTTGCAGACTACGATCTGAATTTTCATTCATTCTTTTCCTGCTTTTAGGCTCCAAAGTTTGGAAATCCTCCTCTCAGTTAAATCTACACCATTCTGTTCTACCATCCTTTAGTTATCTGTATGTAGGTACATTTAGCTTTCTTTAGGGAGGAGTTGCAAAAAAGAAGGCACTAAACAAACTTTGGAGCACTCCAAAACATATTTCCAGGGGTCATTAGTCTGTTAATTTCCGTTTTTTGGTTTTCTAAACATTTGCTTTGTGAACTTCGGCCCTAACTGCATCGTTTTAGCTTCTGTCTCTTTAAGGCCTCCCGCCTCCTGAAAGTCCCAGTTCATCTTTCCGCCTAATCAGTCCAAGATTCAGACGTTCAAAACAGCTGTTCATTCTTAGTTTCTCGTTCGCAGAACCAGCCGACGGACAGGTTCTGTGCCAGTACGCCGGTGTTATTAGGTTTCGAGCCGTAGACAGGCAGCCCGAAAGCATCTTTTACGTGCTCTGACACACAGGGAGACGGCAGAAGATAACTTCAAAATGTCATGGCGTTCTATCATAAATGTATCCGGGTGTAATCAGCAATGTGTGCTTGAAATCCCGATCAGTCGTCCTGCTGCGTGGAACAGTCCCATTCATGATATAGAAGAATTAGTGACGCGTTCTTTTAGAAACGGATTTGACTGTCATAGCTGATGGAGGCGGAGAGTTTAATGCGAGCTTGTTTCGGGTCAATCTGCTGGACATATTTTCCTGATAAAAATTAAAATGAAATAACGCCACATTTTCCTGGGAATTCTTTTCGCCATAACCCAACAACCCACCCCCCATCCTCCCCCCACCCTTTTTTTTCTCCAGGAAATGAATTCCTGAAACAAAAGGTTTCTACTGACTTTCACATGAAGCAAAACTTTGTTTCATCTCGACTTGAAAAGGTTTCATTGTAGTTTGATGGAAAGCTGCAGCTTTTTACATGAAGGCGGCTTTTAACAGGAGATGCGGGGAACACAACACAGACACATTTTTTGATGAGAAAGTGTCAGGAGAGGAAATACTTGGGTGTGTCTCTTTTTATGTTAATTCTAAGCATTTTGTCCTGTCATTTAACCTTCTGTTACACTAAATTAAGCAATTCCTTTATCCTACTATGGTTCAGTCTGCTATTAGTGGTGGATATTTAAAAAAAAAAAAACTTTCTAACTTTATTGCCATCCAAAACCATCAATTCACAGATAATTTTCCAATTTGAGACTGGGATTTTACCAAAATATTCATGCACAACATCTCGAGTATTTTATTTATCAATGTACGGAAAAGGGCAAAATAGGTAACCCAGACTGGGAGACGAAAAAAATCAAATAAAAGAAGTGGGTATTCAGAAGGAATATGCACCACAATTAAGGTAAATCCCAATTGGTTTCCACAGTCTTTCAAAATTCTGGACTTTCAATTGTAGTCAGTTGTTCGATTGTATCTACATGTTTAATCTTTTGCATCCAGTAATCCATGTTGAGTGGTGGATGGTTTTAAAACGCAATTTTTACAAAAAAAATGAGAACGGAACGGTTCAATCCAGCTGAACTCTGAATGGTGATGCAGTGCAGGATAAGTTATGTAAGTATTAAAAACTTTATATGGCACCAGCCAATTTCACAGGACTGTTTGGCAAGCTGACTCTGCCTCCTGGTGTTCGAAGCAAACAACAGCATTTACTACCTGATGAGTTAAAGGGAAGGAAACAGTTGATTCCATTTCTAAGAAATATGTGGATGGAATAGATGTGGTATGATGAGAGTAATGTTGGAGAAGCCGTGTTAGAAGCTAACGGGGACAAACCCATGTGAAAAGGAGGTGCCAGCACTTCCCCGCACAATGCCCAATTCTTTTAAGCTGCATTACAGACAATATAAGGTGATACAAAAAAAAACACAACAAGTTGCACTAGACAAAAGATTTCAATGAAATCCTGCCTCCAATAAAACCCAGACACTTCCACCATGTTGGAGAACATGAACTCCTCTACCATTTTTATTTAGTCGGATTTGTATGTACAGCATTAAGTTTTCCATTGACTCCTCAAACCAAACCAACACAACACAACTACTTTTATGTATCCTAGAAATCAGTCCCAGAGTGCGTCTGAGCCCGAAAATCATCCTCTACACTCTGATTAAAATGACTTTTGAGCGGGATTTGCGCAGTTCCTAATTTAATAAAGAACCATCTGGTTAATCGTTTAATCCCCTCTGTGTTAACGTCTTTTATTCCGCATTTGTCGGATGTTGCATTAAGGTTTAATTTTAGAGTTTGCGTCATCAAAATAAATAAATAAATAATCAAAAAAGGGCGGATGGGCTCCTCTCCCAACACAACAATGCGGTCCAGGTGTCCCTGAACAATAAGGGGCTGCTCCGTTCATCACGTTGGTGACGAGGGTCAAAGCCCAATCAGTGCAAAGACAAGATCAGAAACAACAGCAGAGACTCACTCATCACTCAGTCATTCATAACCGCGATGAACAACAGCTTTTTACATAAAAATACTAGCGATGAAAATCTTCAGAAAGCACTGAAGCGCTCCATCCAATTAATTCACTCGTGTGTGGAAGCTTCATGGAGCTTCGTTTGCTCTACTGCGCCATCAAGTGGACAGTAAATGTAAAAACGTGCAGTATGATTATAATGAGACTCTGACTTTGGTGGTTAATCAATGATGTTTGTGATGCTGCCCTCCAGGGTGTGCCCCCCCCCCTCTCGCCCATTGACCACTGGGACAGGCTCCAGTCCCCCCGCGACCCCTTTAGGGAATAAGCGGTTACTATAAGCAGTTACTATAATGATGTTTGTGATGCTTTTACTTAAATGATCAACTTTTATATGGTGTCTTTCTTTATGATACGATGACAGGGAAGCTTGAATAGATCGCAATAATAACTCGTAATTAAGTCTCCACAAAATGTGAGATGGGAGATCCATTGCATTTTGCTGGCCCTTATATTTCAAATACGGTTGATGATAGTGATCACATTTATCAATGCTACCATTTATGTGTGATGGAATTTACGATAGACCTGCTACCAAAGAAAATGCACAGCCTTTTCCCAGGCGGTGACTGTAGAGAACTTATTTGTTTAGAGCATATGGAAGAGCATCATTTAAAAAACCTTTTAAAAAAAAGTATTTAAAACGTGCAGGTTCTTTACATTTCTGAAAGACTTCTTTCAGTTTTCGCACGTTGACTAAAGGTTCAAACAACGTTCTTGCAACGTTCCCGAAAACCTCTAAACCCTCCCGTTGGGAGACTCGAGTAGGGACAGGAATGTGTGGAGAGAGAAACTAAGAATGCAACACGGAGGATGCAGAAAAAACGAGAAACGAGAGGACGACCTCTGTGTGTGTGCCCTGTGTTCTCACTTGTTTGTGCATTCCAGAGTTTCCACTTTCCTTCGCAGCTCGTTGTTTTCATTGGAACATGTCTCCACCCTGTGGTCACAAAACAGCAGCAGTGTCAGCGGCCTGAACAAAATCCCCCCTTTTATTTTTAGAAAAGGCCCACAGTCGTGTTCTAAATATTTTGTTAATGGTTTGTGGGTGTAAATGCTTCCTTTATGCATCGTTTGCCATACATTTGGCAAATCTGTTGCTTGTCTTCTGCATAGCTCAGAAACTGTCTGCATTTTATGTCCTATAAAAAAGTCTACAAAGATGAAAAAATTCTATCTTAGGATGAAGTACCTTAAATTTAACTGAAAAAGACAAAAAGGACTAAATTCTTGGCTGATGCGGTCCGATTTTCATGGTTTTATTCCTATCAGGATTCCTATCAGAATGTAAAGGTGGGCTTACTTCTTCTCCAAGGCATCCATGTACTCTTTCTTCTTCCTACGACTCTCCTGAGCTGATATCTACAAGAAAATAGACATATGAAATGAGGAAATATCAAAAGGTAATGAAAACATTCTTAGTTACAGCTCTGGTTCGGATTTTGAGCGAACGCAGTCACATCCATAGTTAATTTGATGAAAACTGCTCTGATTCATTAAGTGTAACAAACAGTTTCTTACCTTGTTTTTGATCTTCCTGCGGATCTTCTTCAGCGCCTTCTCCTCTGCTTTGGTGAGCGGCAGTTTGGTGGGAACTGGGTAGCCTTCGGCCACCAGCGTGCGGCGCTCCTCCTCGGTCAGCATAAGCGGCCCTGAGCCCTGCAGTTTCTGCAGAAAAAAGAAAAGGAAGATGAAGGGAAACTCAAACGCTGTTTCAGGTTTCCCAGTATGCAAAAGCCTAAGAATCCCACAATTTAACTCTGCATATATTTGCTCATGTATCATCCTGGAAAGAAAAGCAAAATTCATGACTTATAACTTCGTAGTGGGGAAATGAATAAAATGCACACCAAATTTCAATAATCTTTGATAAAAATGATCCTTCTGTCACGGTTTGGGAGATTTTCACTTTGCCAACACGGTATCTGTATTCCTAAATAATAAAAAGAGGGGCTGCTAATTTTCCAAGATAATATAGCAGCAGAGACGATTTTTCTTACATCAACTTGTAATGATGCAGATAAAATTGGTTATTTCAACTTTAAATTGATCTTTGGAAGGAGAAAGATTGGAGTATGACGCAAAAGAAATCCTGAGAAAATGATCTGTGCTGAGTTCAGGCAAAACGTCCTCAGAGTTTCAGTCAATTTCTATTGTGCAGCGTGTTAAGACCCTTAGATCTGGTCTGGCTGCTTCTGGTCAGGTAGCCCGAGAGGCCGAGAAGAGAGCAGCGAGTGAGGGTGCGCCCTTACGTGAGGAGCTGTGAGCAGCGGGGAGTTGGACAGGGAGGAGGCGGCGCGGGGTGACACCTTCAGGCTGGTCTGAAGTGGAGAGGGGCTGGTGGGGGAGTTGGGGCAAGAGGCGTGGACGGGGCTCTGGCTGCCCTCAGAGTCGCTGCCGTGGGAGCTGGGGGGCGTGGGGGGCATCTGCAGGGACTCCCGACCTGGGACATGACAGAGAATAGAAGGTATTACCGTACTTTAAAAAAATCTGAAGCCATTTGAGGTCTTTAGTAGGAACATTTAGCCATTTCAACATCTGACCAGCAGGTGTCCTCGTAGCATCAAACAACCACAAGTACCAAAGAATCAAAAAGCGAACCCGGACCTTTGGTTGACAGGTTCAGGAACTGATCCACTTCGTGAGGCTCAAGTTTAATCTGCGGGATGATGTTCTCCTCCTTTACCTGCAGACGCAGAAAACAAGGCAGTTTTACAAACGGTTCAAACATCCGAAAAACGCCGGGTTTTCGTCCCGTGTCCGGGCTCCCTCACCTTCACGGCTTTGCCTTGGTGGCTGGTGCCGGCTGCCGTCGGGGCTGCAGCCACGGCGGGTGTGGCGGGGGCCACACCCGGGGCCTCGGGTGCTCGGGGCCCCTCGGTGGCCCCCAGAGAAAGGGACAGGGTGGGGAGGAGAGAGGGGGTGTCACACAGAAGGCCCTCAATGGCCTCCTCCTGCTCCATGACCCAGTCGGCCGAATCCCCGTCCGACTCTGCTGCGGGGAAGGAACACGTTATGAATAGAAACATTATCTAATTTTTTTATGCAGGAATGTAAACATTTGGTGGATCTTAAACTACCTATTGTGCTTTAGCACCTTATGAGAAGTCAAATGTTTTTTTCTTTTTTCTTTTTTTTTGCCCTATGCTCCAGCCATGTAATATTTTAAGGAACGCAAAAACTGTAGTTTGGCTTTCCATCATTGTCTAATATTCAGGTAACCTCCGGGGTTTACTGAGTATTAAAAAAGTAACTCATGGTTTATTTAGTAAAATATTAAAGACAAATAGCAATAATTAACAAGTCTAACTTCCTGTCTTCCGGGCTTTAAAAGTGCCTTTGACCAATGTTTACCTTTTTTTAATTGGAATTACTTGAGACCCGTGAGACATTCACATCCCTAATGCATGCTGTATAAAATGGGATTTTTGCAACTTCGCCTGAGCGTTTGTGTGTTGTTTTACAGAGTCGCCTGAAAGGAGGCACGTTTTTCAGAGCCTTTGGTAATTTTTGGGGGGTGAAAGCGCACCCTCTCATTCCATGTGCGGTTTCTCCTGCTAAACAGAAAAGCTTTTCTTTTTTGGATCTTTATTTCCTCTGTGCGTGCTGCCATATGTATATGCACTAAGGAGGCAACATGCATTAATATTGTCCCTTTGCAAATACTGCAAGAAGAACAAAATCCCGTCACGTTGGGATGAAAACCGAGGCTTGGCGTCTCACCGGCCTCGCTGCCGTGCTCCCCGGTCAGGTGTGAGAGGGGCGACTGAGGCCGGCTGTCGCCGCACAGCGAGTAGCTGTGCTCGGCGGTGATGTGCGGCGGGAGAGGGGACGACGGGGACAGCTCGCCGCCGTCCTCGCCCTCCATGGCTTCCGATTCGCCTCGCCCCCCCGACAGGAAGGGGTCGCTGAGCAGCTGGCCCAGCAGGGCATCCTGGGAGAGGTCGTCGAGGAGCTCGGAGAAGTGCTGCGGATATAAAAAAAAATAAAAATAAATTAAAAATCCGCAGTCATTTAGTGCGGGGAAACCCCCACTATGGAGGAGAGACAGATAGTTGATTACACAAAGCCACACTGTTACCAGCCCGCCACCACAAGACTGTAATTACACACTCTTAACTTCTTCATTGGCACCTTCCTTTGAAGCTACCCCCCTCAGGAACCACCAAAGCAGCCAGCCAACACCCCCCCCCCCGCCCCGTCTAATCACCGTTTCTTCTCTCGTGGGTGTTGTGTGTGTTTCTCGGTGTGGTGAAACTTTTTCAGAGCGCACACAGAAGCTACCAGGGGAGCCTTTGTTTCTCCTCCCCCCCCTCCATCTTCCC